GTGTGTGTGTGTGTGTGTGTGTGTGTGTGTGTGTGCGTGTGCGCCTGTGCATAGCAAGCCCGAAGGTGTGTGTGTTGGTTTGGAAGGTTTTTTCTTGTGCGTGCAAGTGTGTTTGTTGTGGATATTTCCAGTGGTATTATTATTATTGTACCTGACACCTCTTGCGTTTGTATTTCAAAAAAGTCCTAATATTACAAGAATAAAGTCCTAATACTACAAGAATAAAGTCCTAATATTACAAGAATAAAGTCCTAATATTTCAATAATAAATCTACCTCCCCTACAGTTTGCTGTAGCCTATATGAAGTTATTGCTCTGCACTCTGCTGCTATGGTAGTATTCCCTTCAGACCGTCTGACACTCAGAACCTGTTTGAGACTCTCGGGATGTGAAAAATGAAAGGGAAGCGGCTGTACTCAGCTCTTCAACAGAGGTGGAAACCCGAAACTGACAGAAAAGGTTCACGTATAAATATCACCAATGTGTGGCGTATTACACGTGCAAAAGTTTACTTCAACACCTCCAAAAAAAAGTGCAGCTCAAGTCTGTTTCACAAGTCAACGTCAGAACCCATCGGCGGTGCCACGCCTCACAGGCCAGAAGCCCTGTAGTAGTTATGACTATGCCAACTGCAAAACCAAACCGGACGCAGTGTAAGCAACCGCAGACTTATATTTGGCTTTGTGTGGTAGTCGGGAGGCTGCACTTGTAAAAAGATGAAGGAGATGCTCCCAACTTTTCAAGGCTTTGATGACTCCTTCTGTTTTACCCTTTGATGCACCTAAATATAGATTTTTCCCAGGTCTTGAGATAACTGCTGCTGATATTTCTGCTATTGAAGAGAATAAAAAAGATAAACTGCACAGTGTATGTCTGTGGATTATCTGCTCTTAAATGGGGCTCACAACCAGGTTTTGAGTTCAATAGGAGCAGCACTGTAGGGAGTAAAGGAACAACAATATCATAACTCAGGGAGGTTAAGCAACAACAGAGGAAGAAGCATTCTAGATGAGATGTAAGGTCACTAATGTATGATGTGGCTCACTAGAAATGAAAGCCAGACGTTAAATGCCTCAAACTTGAAACATCTGTCTGAATTTAGAGATGTTGTGTATGTTAGTTAGTGTAACAGCCTGCAATTAAGCCATGTTTAACTAATCCAACTCTCTCCCTCCTTCTTCAGGATGGAGCTGCCATGTTTATGTTTACTGCTGCTGAGCTGTCTGCAGTCGCTCTCGGCCAACCATGACTTCTACACCTCCATAGGTAAAAAAAAAACGTCGCGCAAACACACACCTGTAACGATGTGATAAGATTAGCGGTGCCCGTTGTTATTCATTGTTGCAATATTGACATTGAAGTGTCTCTGATTTGTGTTCCTCAGGCCAGATGACGGATCTGTTATACACAGAAAAAGACCTCGTCACCTCTCTGAAGGACTACATCAGAGTGGAGGAGAACAAGCTCGAGCGGGTCAAACGGTGAGTTTGTGGACGACACACAGCTACAAACACACTCAAAAACAGATATTCATGATTAATAATGTATTATTGTCATCCTTGCGATAGGTGGGCTGATAAGTTGGATTTGTTGTCGGCCGCAGCCATACAGGACCCCGAGGGCTATTTGGGGCACCCTGTCAATGGCTTCAAACTGATGAAGAGGCTGAACACGGAGTGGGGGGAGCTGGAGAGCCTTGTGCTCAGTGACACCACTGAAGGTACATATGAGTTATTGAGATGGAAGAGAACATTACTCATTAATCCTTGCCACATGTCTGCCTTAATACAGTATAATCAGAGTCACTCCATGCAGTCCCACTGACCGTTACGAGAGAGTATTTATTGTCTTCACTTGTCTGGTTGTTATGTATCCCGTACATAATCATCCTACTATATCCTTCTTTGTGCTCTGCTGTCCACCTCTCTCAGGATTTATTTCCAACCTGACGATCCAGAGACAGCACTTCCCCACAGATGAGGACCAGACCGGGGCGGCTAAAGCTCTCCTCCGGTTGCAAGACACTTACAGACTGGACACCAACACTATCTCTACAGGAGACCTACCCGGTAAGCGCCTTCAATCTGTGCATACCACATCTACCCGGATGTCTACCGCTACCACCGATAGTCACAGTAAACAGCGGGCAATGAGGGAAGAAAGGGTTTCTCTTGGTTTCTATGTTATTTACATTATAAAGAGAATGGTTCAGTTTTCTGCTATGTCAATGTTCCTCTGTATCCTCTGCATACCAGGAGTGAAACACAAGATCCAGATGACAGTGGAGGACTGCTATGAGCTGGGGAAAATCGCCTACTCTGATGTCGATTACTACCACACAGAGCTGTGGATGGCCCAGGCCCTGAAACAGCTCGATCGGGGAGAGGAGTCCACTATAGATAAGGTGACGCTGCTCGACTACCTCAGCTACTCCATCTACCAGCAGGGGGAGATAGAGCGAGCCCTGGACTACACCAAGCAGCTGCTTGCACTGGGTGAGTCCCTCCACACTATTAAGTGCACCAGGAGGCATCTTTTGCGATGTGAAGTGATAGTGTCACTTTTGGATTCTAAAATTTCTGCTCAAGGTAAATAATGTCACATAAACATCAGATAGATTAGGATTTGATGCTCTTTGTTTAGACTGAATAAATAGCATGTAATTATGTCATGTTGGAAGCTCAGTTATTGTGATTACAGCGGGTGTGATATTCTGAGGTGACATTGCTGCAGTCCTCACTATTTGTAATCACCGCTATTAATTCTGTTGGCGTCTTATTTTCCCGTTTTTTTAGACCCAGAGCATCAGCGCGCCAAGGGCAACCTGAAGTACTTTGAGTTCCAGTTGGAGAAGCTGAAAAAGGCTGAGGAGGACCCAACTCAAAAGGAGAAGGAGCGAGGGAAAAGAGAAACGACTGAGAAGAAGGTGAAGAAGGAGAAGCCCAAAAAGAAGTTCTTAACGCCACAGGTCCCAGAGAGGAAGAAGTATGAAATGCTTTGTCGTGGAGAGGGCATTAGAATGGTGAGGAGGACAAAAAGATCCGCACAAAACACAATTTCTAACTTAATAAAGACGTGTCGGTCTCAACTGCTTTTGCTCCTTGCTTTCCTTTTCTCTCAACCAGACCCCCCGCAGGCGGAGCCGGCTGTTCTGTCGTTATTATGACAACAATCACAACCCCATGTATGTGCTGGCGCCCGTCAAACAGCAAGATGAGTGGGACCAGCCCTACATCGTCCGCTTCATCGACATAATCTCCGACCAAGAAATGGAGAGGGTCAAGCAACTGGCAAAGCCCCGAGTAAGTGATTCTACGTGGTTTCGCTGCTCCAATTGATTGTGTAGAACGTTTCAGAGCTTGGGTCCATGTTTACTTCCTGTCAGCTTCTGTCATTAACATACACTGCAACAGGAAATAAACACATTTGGGATGTTTCTGTGTCATGGTCTTAGTAGGGACATTTGTTCGGCTTTTTTTCAGTTTCTGTTATGTGGTTTTAATGTGTTGAGGGGTGGGAGGTCAAAGCTGTGAGGCTGGTTGATATGATTCTGCTAGTTTGACAAGCACACACACACACACAGACACACATGTGTGTCTGTGTGTGTGTGCGTGTGGGTAAATCGTGTCCCTGGCTTCACAGCTACGCAGGGCCACCATCTCAAACCCCATCACAGGAGTGCTGGAGACAGCGCCGTACCGGATCAGCAAAAGGTAAGGCCTACCCAGGAGCCGCCAAGAGCAGAGGATATAGGAGAGAGAGCCGAGGAGGAGAAAGCGAGATGGTTTTCCTCCTTTTCCCCTCCTCAATAACTCATCCCATTTATCCTCTGCTCTCCCGTCCGTGCACATCACTCCATTTCTCCACCTTTCCAAAGCTTAAAGGCTCTTGAGCTGAGTCACAAGATCCAGCTAGACACATTTCTAACAATATTATTGGTCTATAAAAGCACATTCCTTTGCAATATGTGACACAGGTGAAAGAAAAAAGGAAAAGAATGCCTTCTTAGAGCTAGTTGATATTAACATAGTTGCTTTTGTGAGCCATGAGGTGTATCAGAGGCACTCATTGATTCCCTGCTGGTATATCTTCTTATTTTGAAATAGACATTTTTTTTTTTTTCGCATTGGCTCACTCTCTTGGCTCTGCTAAAGAATAACATTGACAACTAGTAACCGGATCTGCCTTTCTTTTCTCTCCCTCTGTCCTCTTTCCACTTGTCCTCTTGTGCGTATCACATTCTATCATCTTTTTTCCCCCCTTTCTTTTATTTCTCTTTGTTTGTCCTCGACTTCCTTGTGCTGCGGGAACTACTGTAGCTAAGGCGAGCCACGGTGCATGACCCCCTAACCGGGAAACTTACCACGACCCAGTACAGAGTCTCCAAGAGGTAAGGGGTCCCAGGTCACAGGAGGACCACAAGGCCTCCTACATCCTTCTCTTTATCTGTGTCTCTGTGCCCTGGCTGAAACACCTATTGAGCCCTGCACCCAGTTAACATTATGGAAAAAGGAAAATGTTTAGCTACACTTGGAAAACTAACACTAGAGGAGGTTTTAATTTGGTTAAAGTGAAAACTCCGACACAAAATTGAGCTTAAACATAGTTCAAATCAAGATAAACAATCCTTTATTGTTGGTTTTTTTTAGGTGTAGCTGAAATATTCTGTATTCCTTCAGTTTCCCCAGTGAGTTTAAATTTTTAATGGAACGGCACAGCTGTGGCAGATTGTTTTCTTCCCCCCGGCCACCCTTCCCAGGTTATTTGAGATTCTGAGCACTGGACCTCTATTCCCCACTGCACTTTCCAGGAATGAATCCATCACAAATTCTCTCGTCTGAACTCTCTACAGCTGCTGCGACTCTTCTATGCTTCTTCAACTAATGAATCAGCAAGAGGGATTAATAAACTTCCTGAGTCCGGATGCACATTCTTAGAAACACAGATCGAGATGTGCTGTAAACGTGTGGAAAGAGAGATTGTTATTCTCATTGTTGTAGATGTTAAGAAAGTATTATCTGGTAGTTAGAAGCAGTATTCCACCTCAATAGCTACGTTCTCTATTGTAAGTTAAACTTTCTCCCCACCCTTAAAATTTAGCAGGCTTAGCAATTTACCAAAAGAACCCACGTTTCTTAGGTTTTGCAGTTCTTGGTAATAAATGTTTGGGTGTGTGCTTACGGTGGAAGGGTGTGGTGTTCCTTTGATGTGTTTTGTAGGCGTACGTGTTAGCCAGCATGCATTTCCATATTCAGTGAACATGGAGTGACAGAGGGTGCAGAATGGAAGCGTTTGACGGCTCACTGAGCTGACTACAAGACACATCGGAACACATTTGATCCGGCATTTCTTTTAAAAAGATCACATATTATATTATCAACAAAAAACGCTTCTTAAAAAAAGCTGACTCATCTTACTGACTCTCTCATACACACGCACGCACACACACGCACGCCTTAAAGTAGTTTATTGTTTGAATTGATTCTGTCTTTGTCCGTCACGTCACATATATGTGTTAATAACTTCACAGAAATGATCTATAAAATATCTTCAATTCTCTCTTTTTAGTTGTGGTTTTGCAGTTTTTTATGTGGATACTGTGGCTTTTTTTTAATGCTTTAGTCAGGAAAAAAATACCAGTTTGAATTGAATCATGCAGCCTGCAGAACTGCAGTCGTGTCATGTTTTAATATTTCACAAGAAAGAGTTCATTGTCATGCTCAGTGGGCCTTCTCTGAGACTGAGTATGAAAGGCAGGTAGTGTCGGGGAAAGTTTAAGCCATGAAAACAGTTTGAAATGTCCACATTCTGAAGAGCACACAGTTTAAAGTCAGAACAACCCTGTACCCAGAGCTGATTGGAGGTTCTGAATCTCGGGCCGGTTTTCCTATTTTTCATTTTCTTCATACCTCCGCTCCCTTTTCTATCATCTGATTTGAAATGTCCAACTTCACTTTCTTTTTTTAGCTTTTCGTGGTGACCTTTCAGCATGTGGCATGCCTCTCTGTCCCTATCTCAGGTCGACAGAGTCTTTACTACCATCTGGTGGACAAACACGTGACTCACTGACGTGCTGTGTAGAACTGCCCGTCTTCTTTCTCAGTTGCTCTGCTTTCCCTCCTGTATTCCAGCGCTTGGCTCACTGGCTATGAAGATCCAATGATTGACACGATCAACCAGAGAATTGAGGATCTCACTGGGCTGGAGATGGACACTGCAGAGGAGCTGCAGGTAAAGAGTCAGATTCAAAACAGCGTTTTCTCTTTGGTTTAGATCTTTTTTTCTTTACTGAATCGTCCTCATATACATGTGATATACATTCTAACAAACCCCCGCCCATCTGTTTGTGTATTTGTCTGTTGGAAACCTGATTTATAGAGTTGTGAGACTTAAATCATATTTTATTGATCTCTGTAGGTTGCAAATTATGGCGTTGGAGGTCAATACGAGCCTCACTTTGACTTTGGAAGGGTAAGACACAAGTTCATTTATCTGCATGTACTGTTAATATGTCGGGGCAATTACACCTGATGTTGACTCTCTCTCTCCACAGAAAGATGAACCAGATGCCTTTAAAGAGCTGGGCACCGGGAACCGCATAGCAACATGGCTCTTCTATGTGAGTGAACTCTCCCTAGAGACACCTAAACACCTGTGTTGTTAACTTTAGATTGCACTTACACCGTGGCCAAGGCATCTTAACTCGTATCGCACAGGTGTGTGGGTCCTTCTTCACACAAGCAGAGCGTTATTTTAAACTCTAATGTCAAGACACTAAATCTCAACTGATGAACTATGTTCATTAAATGACATCATGAAGTAATGCTGCAGGTATCTGGGACATTTACTACACTACTCTAAGTGCCTGTCTTAGTACAGTTAACAGTCAATCACACACTCATCACATGTACCTTTTGATGACGTGTACAACATGGACAAGAAAAGAACAGCCATTGTTATTCTGAAAACCAACATTACGGGTAAAAAAGCAGATAGTTATTTAAAGTGACTGAAGGAATGTCATTATGTTTTAACTTTAAAAGGTTGAGGGGAGATTTATGAGAAATGAGGCTTGGAGTAAAATGTAGCCACTGTTATAAAAGCTGCGTATAAACGGTGCCAATATATCTGATTTCAATATTCATGTGAAATAGTTTGATACTTAAATGGATTGTAACCACGCAGAAAGCAATGAATGTGACCTTCCAGAAATGCACTTATTAACAGTCGTAGTACTGCAGAAGTATTTGCTGTGACAGAAAAACTCTTTTTGTCTCTGTGTTGTAGATGAGTGATGTGGCAGCAGGTGGAGCCACAGTATTTCCAGATGTTGGCGCAGCAGTTTATCCCCAAAAGGTAACCGCTTATGTTCCAGCACTTATTACATAGAGTACATTATGACTGAGTTGGGCACATTATATAACCAACAAATTCCCAGGTTTGTTTGTTTTGAAGTATAGTACACTCTAAAAATATGAATTAACACAATTAAATTGTGCAAAATGTTGTTTTTGCCACATAGAGAGAAACGGTACTAATTATTCGACACATTCATATGCTATATCTCTCTCTCTCTCTCTCTCCCTCCCACACAACACAATCCTCTAACAGGGCAACCATTTAATGCAAAACAAGATCATGCACTCTAAGAAAATGTCTATTTGTTCATTCCTGTCATCGAAAGAAGGTTTTTTTCGAGTCCACATACCATGTTTAACCATCACAAAATGTGTATTTATTGACTGTATTCAGGAGACTGAGGCTGGCATCCGGGCTATTGCTGGAGATTTTGCAGCACCGCTAACCTCTGTTGCCTGTTGTTTGTTTGATTCCAGGGCTCTGCAGTGTTCTGGTACAATCTGTTTCCCAGCGGGGAGGGAGACTACAGCACCCGACATGCAGCTTGTCCAGTGTTGGTCGGCAACAAGTGGGGTGAGCTCCTCTTTGTCTTTGTCTTGCCCGAGTAAATAACTCTTAAGGGTAAACATTTGTACTGTTTCTAAAGTAATCAAAGGGCTATAAGTTTATCTTTTCTTTTCTGTCTTTAGTATCAAACAAATGGATCCATGAACGAGGCCAGGAGTGGCGGAGGCCTTGTGCCCTAAATGAAACGGAATGATGGCAAACATAGAAGCTTCCTCTTCACCTCCTCGGTCCTCTCACTCCCTCCTTCCTTGTGAACCTCCCCGGACCAAAGAACACTGCAGCAGATCAGACATGACACACACATGGGGTCCAAATGGCTCACCCCCCCCCCCCCTCTCTCTACAAACACTCCCCTTTCCTCCCCAGCTGTTACAGTCTGAGCCCACAGATTGTTTGGGTTCATGTCGAGCCCCTGGACAGTTTTAGCATCACTATGACGTATGTTCTTAAGGTTGTTGGATGGTTTTGGAGAAACACCCTTTTTCACTCCAACGTGTCCGTATTTGCACTCTGTATGAACTCTATCTCTGAGGTGAGGTTATCCTTCAGTAGTGACTGCTGGTCCTTAAGGACCAGCTTCCCCCCCGTCAGTTTGAACCTTAAAGGAACAGCTCACGTTTTCAAGAGGCCTATCTGATTCGTTGCATTCCTTTCATTTCATTAGCGGAGCACTGGGCCTGTGTTGTTGTGTTTTTAAACAATGGGAATGCATTGGGGTTGCACACTATCTCTTTGTAAAATGGTTTTTACACCTTTAAAACAGTTTAGTATGTTTCTGAAACTGGCTTATTCTTTAGAGGGATTGAATTAGGGTACAGTAGGTTCACTACATTTCTTTCTTTATTTACATGTGGTAACAAAGTCTGCCTACAATAACTTTGATTACATTTTTAAAAACCAAAGTATGTGCTTTGTGGAAGGAATAGACTCGGTACATCAGAAAATGGTCAGACTCCAAAAATCTGACAACAATTCAGTGTAGTGTAACTAATCGGAACTGGTTTAAGTTGCATGGCTACATCTATACAGTACATTTTTCACATATCACATGACGTGTTTGCCTGCCTCAAAGACTAGTGTTCTTTAGTTGTTTTTGTTAAGTCAATTGAATGGTCACACGATGAGATATTGTTAGATTTGATGTACTTGAACATAGGGTGATTACAAGTGCATGGACACTTAACACCTGGACACAGACACAATTACGAACACCCCGATGCTGCGTAGAATTTAGTATTTGTTCATCCCCATTGTACCGGTGTTGTGTGAGGACCCAAAACGACCACCAGCTGTCGTTGAAACAGTAAGAGCACCAAAGGAACAATGGTAATGAACATTAGGAAGAAGAAGAGCGGGCTGGACACACCACATTGTGCCATGGCAGTTTTTTTACAGAGTGAATGATTCTGGTAGGTTTTTTAAAATGGTGTCCAGTATTCAGTGTGAGAATATGTGTTTTCCAAGGAAGAAACATTTTATTTATATGTCCCAAGCCAGTTTTGTGTTATTTTTTGGTCTTAAATGAAAGTCTGAAATTGTTATTTTTTTCGACAATAAAGACTGTTGATCTCAAGTTAATAAACTGTGTGTGTGTGTGTGTGTGTGTATAATGGGGAATTTTTTGGGGGGGGAGGTATGAGGGCGTCACGTGGCTGTCCGGTACTAATGATAACTTCGCTTGTTCATCTGGGCCAGACGACTGTCGGGTCGAGAGAGAGAGAGAGAGAGAGGGAGGGGGGTCAGGCTACTCTCCCGTCGTCAGCGTTACATTTGATCAAGCAGTTGAGTTTCAGGGGAACAGAAAGTAAACCGGCGCAGTGATGATGATGACCCAGGTTGAGACCACGGTGCACTATGATAACGGCTACGAGTATGAGTACATGAACCAGGAGGATGAGTGGGACAGGGACATGCTACTCGACCCTGCCTGGGAACAACAGCAGAGGAAGGTAAGTCAAAAACACCTATTTCTAAATAATACAATTAATATATCTAGGATGTGTGATGGGAATATTAGAAGTTAGTTTTTAAAGTTAAAACTCTATTTGACATTTCCATTTAACGCTAATACTCTGCTAGTAAACTGTTTTTTTTACAGTATCGAACAAGTTTCTAACAGCTGTTTGGTCCGACATCAAGCTTCCCACAATAAAGAGCGTAACTTCCGGTTAACACTTTCAAAATAAGACATGATTGTGAACATAACGTTTTCATGAGCGTGAAGTGTATTCAACGTGGCAAATAAAACTACATAATTACTTTCTCACACACGCCAATATAATGAGGCATTTGTCTTCAATACTTGCCGATTTATGTGTGTAACGTTACAGGAAATGTAACGTGATGTGGGGAAAGGCGCTAGAAGACAACACCTTGGGTAACGTTAAATAGTGCTAACGTGACTTGCGAGGTAGCCCACTCCCTGGCACCAATTCACATAAACGATCAAAGAAGTGAAATGAACGTACAGTTTTATTTTGCAGGACAGCATCACTTAACTTCCGGTGTGGTTCTAATTACGTGCTGCTGACTTCACGCATCGTATGCCGGGCGCGTCCATGGAGGGCGTCTTTTGACGGACGGATGCGGTGGGTCGTGGGTACCGGGCAGCTAACAATAGCGCTGCCTTCCAGCGGCTCTCCAGACTGCTGCCTCTCCACTGATACGCGCGGAATGCGAGCTGTCAACAGATGCTCCTAACACATGATGACGCTCTCGGGATTAGAATGGACGCTGCATCTAATTTTAAACCTCGGGACCTAAAGGCATTACAGTAGGGTTAATCCAGTGTCCTTGGTTTGGAATTCTTTTGTTTATAGAAACCAGGGAGAAATATTGTACCAGCAGCACCGGCTCAACTCAATATAGCCTCGGCCTCTCACATTGTCAATTGGTTTTAGGGCTTTAAAAGTTGGCCTGGGCCTTAAACTGCAGCTCTTTGCACAACTGGAGGCCGCCAGCTCTGGTGCACATAACCTTCTTTGGCCCCCACGAGGATGACAAAACTGTGTATTTGTGGAAACACAAGGCAGCAATAGGTCCCTGGTCTATATCCACAGCTATTTTCACACTGTTTATCTTCTTACTGATTGTAATTTGAAGTTGACATGTTGGTCTGGTTCTCAGAGCAGCTGTTTAAAATGATCAGAATAGATAAAGCACCAGCAACACTGGTATTGTCTGTCTTTTTTTTGCAAGGTGGGATGCAATGACGTCGCTCTTTTGCCAAAAACACCTTTGTTTGCTTTTGTTAATTTTTTTTATTTATTTATTGTCTCTCCAGTAGCTTTAAATCTATAATCTAGCTCAAGCCCCGGGGCAGCAGCCTTCATTCAAATCCTACTAACAGCTTTCCTTCAATGTTAATGTGAGCTTCGTGAATCTATTAGCTGACTCAGACGGCTACTCCTTGAGTGCCCATTCATGTTACAGAGCCTCTGTTCTTTTCAATATGTTAAACATTCAGTTCTCATGTATTTTCCATCCACCCGGACACAAGCCTGCCAGCCTCTGACCTAGCAAGGTCCCCAAAGGCATCAGTCAGTTCAGTGACAGGAGTGGTCCTTTCTGGATGAGATTCATAATTATTTTTAGCTCTAACCGTCACTGGTCGGTAGTGCTGCAGAGGGAGGCAGGGGGCTTGGAAAGTGGGCAGCAGCAGGGGTCGGCGACTGTGGACAGGGGTAAAATTTGCAGGCCACGTTTTTTTCTAACAAGGGAGGGCAGCAGTTCAATGTCACATACACCCCGGGGACTCACTCAGCGTGGAATGTGATGGCCTTTACTGTAAAGCCTGCAATATTGTGTTCTCGCACGGCACCCAGAGGGGAAAGCCTTAGTGGCTGGCTGCATGGGTGCCTACATACACCCGCACTGAAGTGCTAAAACATCTTCCTCAAGCGATGTGCTTTTGTTGAATTTATACATTAGCCAATAGGTCTACAGGTATTAAAACATACTCATGTAAATGTAAAAGTAGCTCATATAAAATGACTGAGCTACTCATTAGAAAATACAACATTTGCCACATATTATATTTTTCTTTCTAATCCAACAGGATGAGAATACAAATTCAATCCACCATTTTATCAAAAATGCAAATAAACGGCCAAAATATTCAAAATGAAGTGAAGCCAAATGTGAAAAAGGCAAAAGTGAAACCAGCTAAATTTGCTCCCACTCTTTCCTGAATGACTATCAACTGCTAATACATGTTTTAAAATCTCCCGCAAGCATCATACTTCAACCACGGACGTTAAAAGTACTTCAAGAAGTACTTCAAAATAGTAAAAGTACTCATTCAGACCTATTTGTTAGGTAGGAAAGTAAAAGAGAAAAAATGTCAAGTCTAACATCCACTTCGCTTCCATTATAGACCATTTAAATATCTATGAAAATATAAATGTAATTTCTAGCCGATGAGCGTATTTAAATGTTTTTGTCATTGTGACAGGACTTAACATGTGTGACACCTTGACAGACCCATTCATTGGCCCTCAGCATAGTAATGAGCTGGAAGAACAGCACACGTGTGCTGTGATAAAGCTATCTCCCTGCAGCTGTAACCAATGGCATCCAAAGTGGCGAAATAGTGACAGAAAGTGACGTGAGGCGAAAACTCTCTCCGCATCCACGTGACATTTTCACTCATGTTGACACGCCGAGACATTTTTTTGACATTTTTTTTTTTTCCTCCTCTGTCTCTTATCATGAGCCACAGCAGAGCGGTCTAAATTTAACACCTTATATCGGTTTGGAATGTGCTCTGCGGTCGGCTCCCAGCTTTCATCCATCGCTGAGCGCCCCTGAACTCTGTGGCTCGCTATTGACAGACTTTATAAAAATAGGAGGAGGAGAAAGACAATGAGCCTGTCTTAACTTGATTTACAGTATTTCAGTCCCCCCCCCCCCCCTCCATATGGAGCACGTTAGTTCTGATGCTTGTTAGCTGTGGAAATACAGCAAAGAAAAAGTTGAAATTGGACACGAATGGGTCATCGAAGGTTAATCGGAAAATGTAGCAGTGGTCAAACAGGTTAACGTCGATTTGGCTCATAGTCTTGTTGTGAAGACTTGTTAAGCTGTTAGCTGCCTCAGTTTGTTCAGGTCTACAGAGAGGAATACCAAGCTTGTAGTGTAATCCATATATAATGGGGTTAAAGCATTCTTATGGGGTATTCTTTTTTTTGTTTTTAATCATCTGTGGTGCAATCAGCAAAGCTTTACAAAATTGTCATGCGCAGAGTGCTGTTCATCTGTATGGTGATATTTGATCAAATCCCCTTTTAATTGACCTGGGTGTCCCTTTCCTGTTAGACATTCACAGCCTGGTGTAACTCCCACCTGAGGAAAGCCGGCACTCAAATTGAAAATATCGAAGAGGACCTCAGAAATGGACTCAAACTCATGCTGCTTCTGGAAGTCATCTCAGGTTAGATCACGAAGGATTATCTTTCTTTTATAACTTTATGTGTTCAGGATTTATTCTCTCTGATACCACACCAGTAGTGCACATTTTATTCGCCGTGAGCTGAATTTTCATCAATGTAATATTCGATTTGGTGTCTATTTTGCTCATGATGGGACACAATTGTGTCAGTTTGAGCACATAAGGCGTCTAACATGTCTGACTCTGTTACATGATGTTCTGTTTTGCAGGAGAGAGGTTACCTAAGCCAGACAGAGGCAAGATGCGATTTCACAAGATCGCTAATGTCAACAAGGCGTTGGAATACATCACCAGCAAAGGAGTGAAACTGGTCTCCATTGGAGCTGAAGGTATCCCAACACCTTCCTGTATGTATGAAACATACTACAGGGAATCCAGTGTCCAATAGGAACACACAAACAGAATAATACTGTAATCACTGTAGTGCAAACTGATTGCAACAGGTTGTTCGCCTTTCAGAGATTGTGGACGGTAATGTGAAGATGACTCTTGGGATGATCTGGACCATCATCCTCCGCTTCGCCATCCAGGACATTTCTGTGGAGGGTGAGATAACAAACTTCAAATGATCCAAATTAAATTCTCTGCAGACATTGTGTGTCTAATGCCTAAACATTGAACAACTCTTACTATGTTCTCACTAATATGTAACCAGCTCCTGTGAATTGATTTCCTCCTCAGAAACATCTGCCAAGGAAGGTCTTCTTCTGTGGTGTCAGAGAAAGACTGCTCCCTACAGGAACGTCAATGTCCAAAACTTCCATGTCAGGTGAGTGTTCAACACATCAAACACTGTTACAATACAATCAATACTGTGATAGTTTATGTGATTGATAGCTAATCTAGGTTGTCCTCTCATTCTATACGGTCATGTCATATCTTAAATGCCAATACATATTCCAAATACGTTTTTCATTTCAATTGGACATACTGAGAAAATGATTACAGCAGTAGCTATAACAGTAATGTGGAGTTTGTAAAGTGAATATATTTATCTAATGTCAGTAGTCAGTTCTTCCTTAGGCTGACTTTAAAAAGTAAAACATAGCTAGACTTGAGAATGGCATCAGCAAAAACGCTGCCACCAAGTGCTGTTGCGCCTTTCATAGTCCACGCTAGCACTGGACTCCATTATCTCTGAGCGGAGCGGGTCGTCCTCTGTAAAAATCGGGGGTTCGATCCCCGGCTCCTCCAGTCGAGGTGTCCTTTTAGCAAGATACTGAACCCCAAATTGCTCCAAAAGGCTGTGCCACCAGTGTGTGAGTGTGCTCGAATGTGACCATCAGTTTAGATCCTGATGGACAGGTGGCACCTTGCATGCATCAGTGTGTGTGTGTGTGTGTGTGTGTGTGAGAGTGGGATGAATGTTGACATGTTTGTGTGAAGCGCTTTGGGTCCAGTCCGTTTACCGTTTGAACTGACATGTTGGTTCTCTCTGCTCTTTGGCGTGTGAAGCTGGAAGGATGGCCTGGCCTTCTGCGCCCTGATTCATAGACACAGACCCGACCTCCTCGACTACTCTAAGCTCAACAAGGTGTCGTGTGGCTTCACGTGTAACCAGGATGCTGTGTTTCAGCCCCTAAAACTAACACCACTGATTCCCACACGATTAACAACACCTCTGTCACAGTGTGAACTGATTAAAACAAATACAGACTCAGGATTATGTCACTTTTTATGGGCTACTTTTTATGACGGGTTGACTTATGTTGCGAGACACTGAGGAAAACTAGTCTTTATCTAGGACTGGAGGTGTATGCTTTCTTTTTGGTTTTGAGTTTAAAGTAGTTTTGTCGGGACTTGTGGCACTTTTGGATACACTAACAACATGTGCCATGTCATAGGAGTTATAGTTAGTTGGATGAAATAAGCCGTCTATAAGAAGTCCACTCTGTTGTCACAGGCAGCAGCTGTGTGCAGTAATGTAATGTTTGCTGTAGATAAACAGTCTGTCATTTGGCTAATGGATATAATGCGTCTTTAATCAAGTTATGTGCTTCTTCTTTACAGCGTAATGTTTTTATCCTAAGTGCATTCATTTAGTGCCACATCATGCTTCATTATTCTTACCGAAAGCAGTTCACAACTTTAGCATGATTAGCATGCACTGCGCCCATTATAACATTGGATTTAATGGTGAGATGGCGTTTCATATGCAGATCAAGGGATGCCCACATTCAAATGATGTCAAATCAATGCACAGTTTGACTTTTCTCATCCGGCATATCGGTGTGTGTGCCTACTGCTTGAGCTAAAATGCTTTTTCAGGTAAAACAAGTCCACAGCCGCATTTAAATGTTGTGGGTTAAAAGGATGCCCAGGATTGTCAGTGTTTGAGTACAAACAGGCGAGGGCCTCAGTGAGCTGTGCTGCTTATTTGCAGAGCTACCGAGCCCAGCTGACAGCCCTCCAGTGTTAGTCGAGCAACAATAACGCAACCTTTCCCGACTGGAAGAAGGAGCTGTCTTAGACAGGAAGGCCGTCTGTGGGAAGAGTTGAGGCTTCTCTCTTCCACTGCCAAGTCTGTTTTGGTATAAAACTGCAAGTTGGGGCGAAAAAATGACAATAGAGATTTGGTCCATATGGTTTTATTGTGATTTTTAATAATGATATCGGATTGCTGAGCTCAAATAGGAACATCTACTTTTACCTCGGCCAAATGAGGCCCGGTACCGTATATATGTATAGTAGGGGAACACTATGGCCCATTACGAAGAGTGACATTTTCATTTGTTTTGGAAACAGAAGCGCTCTCTTTTCAGCGCACAACTCACTGGCCTGGCTTGGAGTTGACCCGGAATAGTCACAGAAACACGAGCCTAGTCCCCGCAGAGCTCGGGCTTAACTTCACCTCTGCTATTGTCCATGATGTCACGTTGTGTCCCCCAGTTATAGTTCGCCGGGCCTCCATGAAAGGCAGGAAGATGTCTATGAGATCGGTATTATGATATTCATCAGTCACATCTCAAGTAAGGATGGTGTCGATTTTCATTGTTAGGAAAGGGCACTCGGGGTAAATATGAGCGATGAGGCACATGAACAATCTACCATATCTATTTCTCTCTACGGCTTTTTCCCCACTCTTTAAATCTCTTTGACATACATACTCGCACACTTGGTCACACCTCGACTTTCAGTTCTGCTCATGCTGCCGGGAGAAGGTTGCATTGTGCGCCAGGCAGCTGTTGAGTCTGGCTCCAGGTGAACGTGTTTGTTAAGCTCGCATTGTTACAGCCTGCCGAGACAGCTCTGGTTTGGAGCACGCACACACACACACACACCCACACGCAGAGGCATTGCGGTAGCCTTCTCGTCATTCATCCTTCCCACCATCAACTTACCACCCTATACATCCATCTTTGTCTCCTGCACTGGATCTGTGAGCAGCTGGCCCTGTCATGTAGTGTGCCAGCCCCCCAGCCCCCTACCTTAATGGAACAGCGGTACAGAGATAGGGACAATAGCATCAGCATGATAGCATGATCCCTTTACCCCATTGCACTCTCACTGACTGCCCCATTAGCAGGGAAGGGTTTGCCGTCAGCTGTTGGCTTAATGCACCACTGTCACTCTGTTAAAACACTTGGTTTCTCCTGTCAGAGTCACCTGTGTGTACATTTCAAGAAATATATGATGTATATTGTAGGGATGAAATGTTAGTGGATTCATTTACTAACTGATGTACTTTTATTGTATAGCTGTTCAAGTAAATTATGAAGTAAATTTTGGATTCATAAATGCGAAGTTTTGCTTGCCTCTGTTATCTTCCCTCATCTCAAAGATATCACTTTAACATGATACAAACTAAAAGATCAACTGCGTGATTGTGAAAATAATCAATGAATGTAAATAAAAGTTCAACATGTGCATGTCACGGTTTTGAGAAGATTATAACAAATCGTTTTCCCATTGAGACTGGTTTGGTGAGACTGATCAAAACTGCAATCATCAACACGTTTAGTTCCTGATAAACATCCAGCTGCTAGAAAACTAAAACGAGTGCTGTTAAACCACTGTGCATGTACAGGAGGTGACGTGTCCACCATAGCATGGAGGTCAGCGTGGGGATATTTTAAGTCCAGTACCGCTGTTCAGTGATGTGGAATTGTGTTTCTGTATTTAGGATGATCCTCTGGGGAACCTGAACCTGGCTTTTGACATAGCCGAGAAACACCTGGACATTCCCAAAATGCTGGACGCAGAAGGTAATGTTTTATGGAGTAGAGTCTTCTGATTGACAATGTTAGCTTTCTCATACGCTGTTCTTTGAAATATGTGTTTGTGATATGAACTTCACTGTATGCGTATGAGGGTGTTTTGTCTGTTGGAGGTCCGTTTTTTGTTTGCAATGTTTCAGTCTTACAATCACACTTGAAGTAAACTTCTGCCACTTTGATTTTTCCTCCGTCTCGATGCCATAGATATCATCAACACCCCCAAGCCCGATGAAAGAGCTATCATGACCTATATGTCCTGCTTTTACCATGCTTTTGCTGGAGCTGAGCAGGTACAGTGGTTTAACCTACAACATTACTAATATCAATTTGTTAGCTAACCCTATCCATATGCATTTTGAGAACAGGTGCAAGAATATATCGCTAATATATTTTGTTTCTGACATGTCATTTTGATCAACACTATCTATTGTGGGGATGATGTTGTTGGAGAAATGGAAAGGATCAATGGGAGCATGGCCCGCTGTGTTTCTTTGCCGATGTAATTACATTGTTGTGGTGCGCTGTGCTCTCAGGCAGAGACGGCTGCCAACAGGATCTGTAAGGTGCTCGGTGTAAACCAGGAGAATGAGAAACTGATGGAGGAATACGAGAGACTGGCCAGTGAGGTAAAAAAAATGAGTAATTTCATGAAAATCTTCTTGAATGATGATGACGCATGGTGCAATGCAATCTTTTTCAAAAGAAAATGAAACTTTGGAAACTTTGTGGATAACGATATATACAGTATATTACACTAAAGTTAGTCGTGAATCTAGTTCAAAGTAAAAGTGCAGATTTAAGTTACTGCTATGCATCCCACTGATGTGCTAAGCGGAGACCCATCTGCTGAAGAGAATCAATAATTCATCACAGTCTTCCTGAAACACTGCTCTCTTAACATGGAGCTCTACTCGCCTCTCCACTTATTCTCATGTCGTCCGTGTGGTTCCCAGCTGCTGGAGTGGATCCGCCGCACCACTCCCTGGCTAGAGAACCGGACTCCAGAGAAGACCATGGCGGAAATGCAGCGGAAGCTGGAGGACTTCAGGGACTACAGGCGCCAGCACAAGCCCCCTAAAGTGCAGGAGAAGTGCCAGCTGGAAATTAACTTCAACACCCTTCAGACCAAGTTGCGGATCAGCAATCGCCCTGCCTTCATGCCCTCTGAGGGGAAGATGGTATCTGTAAGTGACAACTCCAAATTCCTCCACTTCCTATAATTCAACAGCCAAGACGTGTTTGTGATTGTTTGCACCCCTGTTTATGTCGAGTCCTTTCGAAGTAAAATCTTACACAGGATGAAGAAGTTACAGGTTCTGACAGAGAACCAATACAAGTGTTTGCAGCTTCAAATAATATTTATCTTTTCACGATCAATATCTTCAGTGAGTTCAGACTGTGATTTTCATTGTGTGTACAGGACATAGCCAGTGCATGGCAGGGGCTGGATCAGGCAGAGAAAGGCTTCGAGGAGTGGCTCCTTACAGAGATCCGTAGGCTGGAGAGGCTCGACCACCTGGCGGAAAAGTTTCGCCAAAAAGCCACCAATCATGAGAACTGGGCCAGCGGTCAGTTGTAGTTGTACTTTTGGCACTTTTAACTGTCTGCATGCTTGCTTTTCTACCCACATCTCCCTGCTGCAGTACATCTATAGATCTGCATATAGTATGTCTGTGTGTTTGTTACAGTAGCTCCCTAGAATCTGTAGTCCTGCTTCTCTGGCTGCTTTTCAAGTGTTTCCACTAACCTTGGAGTTTATTTACACTTGTTCCTAATGAGGTTTGACTGAAGGTTTTAGAATCTGTCCAATCGCAATCAGCCTGTAGTGGACAGCAACAGGTCATTCTCTCCATCGGCAATGACCAAATAAGGCCTGTGTTTAGACCTAACCTACATCTTGTTGTTCTGCTCTCTTACCTCATCCCTTCCTCTCTTTGCATATGTGTGATATTCAGGTAAAGAACTGATCCTCTCCCAAAAGGACTATGAAACAGCCACCCTGACGGAAATCAGAGCACTGCTTCGAAAACACGAGGCCTTTGAGAGTGACTTGGCAGCCCACCAGGACAGAGTGGAGCAGATTGCCGCCATTGCACAGGAACTAAAGTATGCACTCCATACAGCAGACATTTAGTCAATAGAAAAATCAGCTAATGCCATCTTGTTTCCTTTTCTTTTCTTTCTTGTGAATATTACTTAAATAATATGTATGGCTTTAGACCCTGCATGACCTGCAAGGGCACCTGTCTGGTTATAGTATTGAATGAAAGGCAACAAACAACATAAGCACAACACAACACTGTACTCACAAAGAAATGCTGTCCATCAGTGGTCCCAAAACATCTATTTTCTGTTCATATTTGAGACAGAAGAAGAAGAAAAAAGGGAAAGGCAGTGCAGTCTCTTAAATGTGATTTGCATGTGAGATTATTTTGAACCACTCTGGAAAAAAAGTCTTCATGAATATGACTTAAACGCTCTTTTCCTTAGTTAAGAAGATGTCACTTTCTCTCAGTAGAAGGGCGAAGGGTGTAGTTCACGGTCGTGCTGACGTTCTCAATCAGCACTCAATGAGGAACACCTGTCCAGCATTTCCTTCTCAATCTGGGATTGGCAGCAGAAAACTTCCTGTTTTGTATTTAATATGATGCTGAGACCAGAAGATGTAATTTCAGCTCACAAGCAAAATGGCTACTTGGGTTCTTCCAAGGTATGTGACGGTTAAATTACTACATTTGCTTCATTTTCTATTCACGGTGTGTTTATTTTACTGTTGTTTTTGACCTTGCTGTTTTCTTTTACAGTCAGTTGCTCCTCATTGCACTGTGCAGCTGGAATGTCCTTTGCTTTCCTGCTAAAAAAGGTAAATCATTTCATGGTGATTATAAATGTACTTTGATGCTTACAACCTCTGATTTGAAATGTTCTCACACCTTGGCTCACTACCTTTTTTTTCCCCCTTTTAGGCTGGAGCCAGCATGACCCTTATGAGGGCAGTTTGCCTAACATGGAGGTCCGAGCTGCTCCGGCACTGTTTTCCAGGTTGAGTTACCCTGCTGTGGAGGACGTAGTGTATTCTAGTCCTGGTGCCTATCCAGCAAGCTCCAGCCTCTCTCTGGACATGTCCAGTGAGGCTTCATGGAGTGCTCCTCCTGTTTGGGATCCTGTGGAAGAGTCTGCGGCCGCATCCAGAAACTCTATGCCCACACCTTATATCGGCCCTCCCCCTTTCTTTCAAGCAGGCGAGCTTAACCACTATGAAACAAACTTGGAGCACGGCAATACAGACAGGGAAACTGAGGAGCTAAACTTTCCCGCACCACCACCACAACAACCTCAACCTCTTCCATATCCTGGCTACCAGGCTGGTGAGTTGAGTCGGTACACGTCGGACCTTGAGCATGGAAATGGAGAGTGGGAAACGGTAGAACAAGGTTACATGCCACCGCCTCCCTATGCCTCAGCGCCGCAGGGAGTTGAGGTGTCTGCTGCTTCCACGTCGTTCCCCGCACAGCCAGTTCCACTCGCGCTGACACCAGTTGGATGGAGCCAGTACTACCTCTTCTTGACTGGTCAGCTTCCTTCTGGCACGTATACTCACTTTTAGGAAGATCATGAGAAAGGCAGAGACTACTTGGACGAAGCCCATTATGAGAGATCCCACAACCCCACTCGGCCTCAGCAGACCCAGGACCATAGCAAAGCTTAACCAGCACTGTTGGTCGTTAAAACAACTAGAAACGGATCAGAAGAACGGTGACTCTAGTCTTCTCTGCAGTCCACTCACAGTTTGTTTGTGTGAATTTTGAATAAAATGCTCAATAACCTTGTGTTCTTTTCTATGTGGTTCTAATTAACTGTTTCAAATCTGAGGTGGGAGTTTATTAAAATGTCTCAAGTAAGTGGCTATGGATACTAATCCTGGTGCTGCCTGGGTCCAGACTTTAAACTGTCACACTTTCAGTCAGGGAAATTTAGTTTTTTTGTGGTACCTCACACAAACATCGCGGTAATATGAGTCAAACTACCTGCATAATGCCTGTTTCTTATCTCCTGAGAACATTACACACGATTTGCCGAGCTACAATTTTTATTTATTTTGTTTTGGTGGCTAAGTCTGACTTTGCTTTGTGTATCCTCTAAAAGCTATCAAATGTTTTTTTTTTTTTTAAGGTTGCCTAAATGCCTGTGGAACAATAACACAGTAAAGCCCCTTTTCACAACTGAAACAAGTTTTCTGTGCTTTGTTTTTCCAGTGAGCTGGACTACCACAATGTGGCTGCTGTGAATCAACGCTGTCAGAGCATCTGTGACTTGTGGGACAAGCTGGGAACCCTGACTCAAAAGAGGAGAGAGTCTCTGGAGGTGAGGGCAGCATTCAAGTCAGGTATCAATGACTCAATGTGACGGACGATGACTGAAAGGCATTCATATCCGCTCTACAGGTTTTCACATAAGGTTACTTTTTTCATTCGATATTAATAAGTTCTTAAAACTTTAGGTATTTTATGATAAGTTAGTAAGTCTCCACAAGAGTGTGCTAATGTTCCACATGGACCCCAACAGATGAAGAATGAAGTTGCATACATAACCAGCTTAATCAAAATGTCAGTGTAAGCATATTTAGGTGTCTGTCAAAGACAACTGAACAGTGAAGACATAAATGATTGATGAGGAGAGAGAACTGGATCCCCTCTAAAGTCCCTGACCCAGATAGGGTGGGAGGGTGGAGGGGATAAAGGAGAAATAGATGCGAGAGTCCTGTCCAGGAGGCGATTGGCTGAGAGCCCACTAGCCACTTCCTCTGATCCATGCGGGCCATTTCAGACCTGCAAATGTGTGAGGGCCCTGGGGAAAGGGCCAAGGATTAAGTCTGAATGACAGGAACGGAGGTCTGTTTTCTGTCCTCCCGCCATCCGCTGGCTGCTGAGGGGAGGGATTCTGTCGGGAACAACAGAGCCAGAGTTGGAGGTTAACAAGGCCACACTAATGTTATGCACCCTTGGATTAGTCATTAAAACAGGTGAGGGGATGTTTGTTGGGGATTTGTATGTGAGATATGAAGACTATGACTCCTCCTTAGTTGAGGGCAGAGCATTATGCTGAGCTCGGTTGGATATTTTGGGGTTTACATGATGTAAAAATATACAAATCAGACATGTGATATCTTGTAATCCTCTCAGCGGACAGAAAAGCTGCTGGAGACTATTGATCAGTTGTTCTTGGAGTTTGCCAAGAGGTTGGCCCCTTTCAACAACTGGATGGAAGGAGCCATGGAGGATCTGCAGGACATGTTCATTGTGCATACTATTGAAGAGGTCCAGGTAGGCTCTTCAATAGCACTGTAGACTCACACACTTACTGCTATTCTGCTTTCCTTTCACAGTATAATATAGCTAATGTTAAAAAACAAAAGTCTAGTTAAGATTAACCTGCACATAATTTTCCTATGATTCATATTTGGGTGTGTAATGTTGGTATACCTGTCGCACTCAAAAAGGAATATCATTGTATCACTTTTGACAAATATGAAATTTTAATAAAATTCCAGGACTTCCCTTTTTTTTTTTTTTTTTACCCCATTTCAGAGTCTAATCGCAGCTCATGAGCAGTTCAAAGCTACTCTTCCCGAGGCGGATGCAGAGAGACAGGCCATCTTGGGAATTCACAATGAGGTGCTGAAAATTTCGCAGAGCTATGGGATCAAGGCCAGCATTATCAACCCATACAGCACCCTCACAACCGAAGAGCTGCTGAACAAATGGGAAAAGGTAGCGACGGCTTTAGAACTCGCTTAACGACTCGCATAGCGAGGAATAAAGTCATTATTCAGATAGCGTTCCTCCTTCATAATTACTGCTTTTATATGGACAGACAACCAGAGTGCTGCTATAATGTTTTATCACTGAGTTGAAGGACTTGGCAGCTTGATTGAACCTAAAGCATAATACTAGTATAATTCAGTTTAATGTAAATGGCTCCTTTAGGGGGATCCAGCTTCTTACAATTCAACCCGTGTCTGTGTGTTTTCTAGGTGAAGAAGCTGGTTCCTCAGAGGGATAGTGCCCTCCAGGAGGAGATGGCACATCAGCATGCCCATGAAAGGCTGAGACGGCAGTTTGCCGCCCAGGCTAATCTCATTGGACCCTGGATACAAGCCAAGATGGAGGTTAGACATACAGGCTTCATAAGCAATTTAACAGTCATCTTTATCTAATCAAAGATACATCAAATGTAAGATGATTATACTCAACAACTGAACATTGTACAATGGTGGTTGCTGCCTTGATAATGATGATAATTAAATATTGCGAAGTATTATAATGCACATAAAATATTCCTAAATCAAATTATATAGCTCCTGACAGAATTTACTCTTAGCCACATGTAAATGACTTCCTGCTGTATTAGTGAGCAAACCATGTGATCTTTGGACGAGCAGTGCATCATCCGAATTGGTCCAAAAATGAAGTTGACCTTGTTGGGTGTGTTATCCCGACAGGAAGTTGGGCGCTGCTCCCTGGAGATAGGTGGCGCCCTGGAGGACCAGATGACACAGCTGAAGCAATGTGAGCACGTCATTGTTGCTTACAAGCCCAACGTCGACAAGTTGGAGGGAGACCACCAGCTAATCCAAGAGTCCCTGGTGTTCGATAACAAACACACCAACTACAATATGGAGGTACAGGGCAGTGGCAGTCATTTCTTTGTTTGTTTTTCTCACGTGCCAATCAGAGCAGCCTGGGATAAAATATGTAAACATGTTCTAGTAGAAACCCAAAATACAAGTATGAACCTGAAAGAGCAATTTGTCTCCTTTTTAAAAAACAAACGTACATTTAGATATCCAGTTTTATATATATATATATATATATATATATATATATATATATATATATATATTCATCAGACTCCTCAAGGTGTGTCTTCTGTGTTGACATGCCTGCTCTTGTCACCACATTGACAGCATATTCGCGTCGGGTGGGAGCTGCTCCTCACGACCGTCGCCCGAACCATCAACGAGATAGAGACCCAGATCCTGACCCGGGACGCCAAAGGCATCAGCCAGCAGCAGATGAAGGAGTTCAGATCCTCTTTCAACCACTTTGACAGGGTACACCTCATTCACAGTTTCACATCGCTGGAGTCTGTTTTTGGGGCAATTTCAGTGACTGGTCCGACGCAATCAGAGCGATTCAGAAGCAGAGCAGGGGGTGGTGGCAGTGGTAGCTTTCATTCCAGCTACATCGGTATGATAGGAATTCAACATACTGACTATGCCTCACCATGCTGGAGTAACAGCATGGATGATACACCTGCCAAATACAAATTCAAAATATTGCTGTGTGCTGATGTCCCAGATAAGAAACTTGAGTCTGTGTATACAACAACACAGGTGTAGTGTGTATATTACAATTCGTTGCTGTGTTTTTAAGCTCTCAGGCATCAGTTATCATAACATTTTCTGCATATTTAATGTCCTATTTGTGTTATTTTATCACAGTGCAAACGCCTGTGAGTGTTGATTTGGATAAAGTTCTTTAGGATGTAGTCTTACAATATTGCCGTCATGTTTTATGATGTATTGTAAAGCATGTTGTTCTGTATATGATGCATTTGGCTCTGTAATCTCCTCTCACTCTACTTTCCTCCTGTCTGTATTGTGAACCTGAAAATGTTCTTCTGACTGTAGAAGAAGAATGGAGCAATGGAGACTGATGACTTCAGAGCCTGCCTCATCTCTATGGGTTATGACTTGGTATGATGTTTCAAATGTGGTTGGGGCTTTGTTATCAGTATGTTACGCATATACTCGGCTCATTCTCCATCCATGCCTTTCTCAGGGGGAGGTGGAGTTTGCCCGTATAATGATCCTGGTGGACCCCAATGGTACTGGAAACGTCTCTTTCCAGTCTTTTATTGATTTTATGACGAGAGAGACTGGTGACACAGACACCTCCGAGCAGGTTGTGGCATCCTTCCGGATCCTCGCAACTGACAAGGTGCGTGTGTGTGTTAGGGGAAGACATTCTTAGCCACCACTAATCTATTCTTTTTCAGTCATTATTTGCAATGGCGTGTTGATTTTATGATTTACAATTTAGTTCATGAGCTCAAAATGAAAAAAGGGGAGCATGAATGTTTGTTGAAACATGTCTGAAGCGCATTTTCTCTCCACAGCCCTACATACTAGTGGAGGAGCTGAGGAGAGAACTTCCCCCCGAGCAAGCAGAGTATTGCATAATGAGGATGCCGCCTTACTCCGGCCATGGAGCACCACCAGGGTCACTGGACTACACTGCCTTCTCCACTGCACTCTATGGAGAGAGCGACCTTTAATCGACTAGATCACCCTCCATCTACTGACCGTGTACCTAACCCCCCCCACCCCCCCCGATGAATTTAAGGAATCTATACAAAAGTTGGATCAAATATGTTAAGTTAAATGTTTGTGACCATACTGGATTTTTCATCATCAAAATCCTTTTGATCATTGTCACTTGTCTTGGTCCTCTTGAATGAGACATGTCCCCCTAAACAAATATAAATTGCCATGTTTAAATTATATTGAGAGAAATAATGCACTGTACATTTTGTCTTGTGTAGAAAGTAAGGTTCTGTGATGGAGGTAAACCTAGAAGAGAAATGTACTCGAAGAAAATAGACACTTAGTAATACTTACTAATAAGCCAACAGAATCATGGTGTTTCTTTAGTGTCAGTTGAAGAAATTAGACATAAAAGTCCTGTTTCATCTAGCAGTGTCATGTATTGTTTTCATGTTTCCTCGCAGTGCCTCCTTTTAGGGAGTACAATCATCTGATAAGGCATTTTGAGATGCTTTAAAGTGAATTAGAAAGGAGCAGTTTCAGACCTACTGCCATGCAACACCAAACAGTGTAGGAAATGGGTTCCCAAAAGTCTATAAATATACCAACCCAACAGAGGGAAAGAAGTGGGAAACCACATGATTGCGAAAGTAAATGTTTACAATTGCTTAGTGGTTTAAAGGCAGAGAACACAGAAAATGAAATGTGCAGTATTCACGAGTATCGCGTTTTAGGATTAAACATTTTGTCAGGCGTTAATGCTTACACATACTAGAAAACAAACTCCAAAAATAAGGTACACAGATAAGGAAATAAAGATAAAATGAAGCCCACGGGTCCTGCTTGAAGTTTTGGCTTAAAAAACAAATTGTATTTAGATCGTCCATACTATCATATGCAAATAGAGTATTTAAATAAACAGTAGTGGCATTGATTTAACCAGAATATGCTAGTTATGTATATGCGCATAACACCATTTCCTTATGCAAATTACTTTCTGCTATAATAAATGTAATGCTCTTAATGACAAGAATGATAAATCAAACATTTTGTGTGATGGTTTTCGCATCCATTGGCAGTTTGTAAGTCATGCAAGAGTGCTAGAATACTGTGGAAGTCATTAGAGTGATGACACTTTCTGTGAAGAGGATCATTGGCCACTTCACACATACTGAAGCCAAGGCAGTGGAGCACATTCATTTAAAATCTCAGTTTAGATTGCTGCAATCCCCTTTACATGAAAAATGTACTTCCACTGTAACAAATTAACCTTACGTTACTCATCACTGATCTCTAGATCCAAGAGATGTTCTCAATTTTGGTGAAAGCTTTGAATTGTTGGTCCGAAAATAAAGATACTCCGGCGGTACTGACACCTTGGAAGACATTTGCTGGCTCTGTTTTCAACAAATTCAGTGAGTTAAACGTTGTACTTGAGGGTGATAGGTTAATTAAATTGATAAAAAAATAAAGTTTGTGATTAATTCAAGCAATTAAATGGAATAAATCATTACTTGTACCATGTCCTTTTTTTTTTTTTTTTACAATTTGTCACCATATTAGAACATATTTAAAGCCACATGTAAACCAAATCCGCATGGCCAAAAGTCACAAGACTGGAACCTGCTGTCACACCCGTACTGATGGAGAGGCTGATGTCTGATGCTGAGGAAGATGTATTTACAGCAGTAGTGGTTGTGGTTTTACTTGGTAAAGTAGAAGAATAGTGATATCTGCAACGCTATCTTCTGAAGCTGCAATTATTCCTTCCTTATTCCTCTTTGGTGTAGGAACTTTTCTACTTGTAGAGCATTGCCTCTCAGGGCTAAAACTATAGAATGGGACATCTGGATTGCCTTTCAGGGCAATCAACTTACAACATTATGCAATATCTTCGATGGAAGTGGAATATTGGTGCGAGGGTGCATCAAGGAAAGGTCATGCCAAAACGGGTAGGGGCCCCCTGGGGATAATGAGGCCATCAGTGAATGTTATTGCATTCATAGCCCATTACATTTTGATATAATTTGTGGAAGCTGTGTCCTGGGGGTGTGCTAGTTAGAGAAAAGTCAGGGGGTCAAATCAAGTGATGATTCTAAAATGATTCCTGGTAAGAACTGTGTAATTTGGGACAAATAATGGGGAAAACCGAGAGAGTTGGAACACTTACACCTTGTTAAGCTCACAGACAGAAGGTCAGCGAAACATACAAAAAAGTGAGCTCTGTCTATATGAAGACTAAGGTAGGTTTTGAAGTAATAAATGACTACTTGAGTATTTCATCCAAGTACTCCCGCCAAAATAACAGCTGTAAAAACAAAACAAAACATGGAGTGGCGGGGTCCTGGATTTGAACAGCTGACTCCGCCCTTCCATGATCAGCTGTACACCTTGTCTGTTCCTCCCAGTCCTCAGTGCCACCAATGCTCCTCAAGTGTGTCTAATGTGGCTACTTTGTTTCTAATAATGGCCGACACTGGAGACGGCGATGACGAATTCCAGTTTCTGCGAACGGTGAGTCAGCCATGTGTCAAACTATTTTAAATTAATTAACAGCTAATATTTGGTCAAGCTAGAAAGGATGCGTTGGCTAGCCAAGCTAAACTAACTAACTTTAGCCCCAGGGGTGTCAACAGTTACCTAAACTTAACTTAACTCTTTGGAAGGGCGCCAGTGATACAATGCGTCATATTTTAGTTTTAAAGCGTTTAAGGTTTAGTTCAGATTTGAAAAGTTGTTTGTGTTGCGAGTTCTAGTCCTCTAAAGTGTAACATTATTCTCTCAGTATAAAAAAGTGATGTTAGCTGCACATTAAAGTTAAGTTACATTTTTAAGTTCCATACTTACGTTTAACACTGGCTACAGATACCCGAGTAGCTCTAGAATGTTTTCTTTCATTATTGTATCACCTCAGTTTTAATATTGTCTACTTTTACTGAGGTATTGTAGTAATAGATAAACACAACTAACTTTAGTTAACCATCAAAATTAAGTATGACCTTATGACCTAAGGCTTCACTTAAAGTTATTTGTTTTATTGAAATGTTTTATTTATATATAAGTAACATATTATATATATATATATATATATATATATATATATCTATATATATATCTATATGTTAAATTAATAACAATCATTTGATTTATAAGTGTGCGCTACTTTTGTGCACTTCTCCCAGTAGCATTTTTGCTATCTTCATCAGTTTGTTTATTTTAATCACCGACAGTAAAGGAAGACCACAAATGGCTTTTTTTCCACCCTCACTGCAAGATGCTATCGTGTTGTAAGTCGTCCCCTCACAGCTTGTTATCTTTAAACTCTGATAAGGACATGTCATAGTGAGAGTGTCTGGTGATACAGGCAGTGATGCAGATGGGCTACTGAACCCAGTAATGATACACAGATTGAGACGTTGAGTCATTTTGCAAGATCAATCCACAATATGCAATTGCATAAGATATCCGTGTTATGCTGGGTTTCCTCCAAGAAATTGTTCAACCAAGGCTAGAATTCCATCCTGGGCTAGAATGTAGTTAGTAGATGACAGGAAACAAAGTGGTTAAATTAATGGCATTTTTGAAATTGTACATTTGCTTTTGTCCCTGAAGTCATAAAAGTGTAATCATTTGTATGATGTAAGTGTAGGGGGTCCTCGGTTGAGGCACAAGGTGTTCTGCATCCTCTTTGTTACATCACCCTGAAACATACAGATTGGAATAATATAGACCAGCGTTGGTTTCAAGACCCTTTCCAGTCAAATATACATGTTTTTCCAATTGACAGGGCTTTGGACATTTGGATGAAGTCTTGTAGCATCGTGACTTTTCATTTGCCAAATGTACCTTGAAGAAGAGCGGAGTCCTGTAGCCGCCTGAATGCCCCACAGTGCCTCAGCATTGGGCAGTGTGTTCGACTGATAGCAGAGCACTGCTGATATGAAGGGTGGAAAGAAGGGTGAATCAGGGGTGAGACAGTGCAGTATCTTCCCAATATGGAGGTATGCAGCCTTTATAGAGAGGTGTTGGGAGACCTGGCTGGACTTTGTAGACCAGTCGTCTGTTGTCCTTCTCTGCAGTTCTTTAAATAGATGTGAATCGCCTTATTCCTTTGACGTGGCCCATTGGGCTTTGAGATAAGATACATTTTAGGTGAGAGAGATCTACTGTACATGCACTTACAGTAGGGTTTGGTGATGTATTAAGGCTCTGCTCTTAGTGGCACAATCCATCTTTTGATACAGACTGTATATTTTCATGTAATTTGTTCAGGGTTTCTGTAAGTTATTTCTGAAATATTTGTGAGCTGAGTGCAGTTTTAATATAATCTGTGACTCTTATGCACAGGAGAGTTTGTGCTTACTGGTGACATCTCTCTGTGTGTGTGTTTTTCTCAGGGAGACGAGGTGGTTTTGCAGAGTACCTTCACCTCCCAGGAGGAACACGTGAAACTCTGTCTTGCAGCGGAGGGATTTGGCAGCAGACTCTGCCGGCTGGAGCCCACTTCTAACTGCAAGGTACAGAGCCCCACCTCAATGAATGACTGTCTTTCCTCATTGCCAGAGCAGTCTGTTTGTCAATTATCGTCACGCTTCATCTCTCTTGAAATGTTTGATAATATGATGTGTAAAATTATGCAAATGCAGATTTTGCCCCTATTATCCACAGTTTGCCCTATTCCCAAATTTGCTGTGGTCTTTATCACTGCTAACTACATTGTTGGCCGGTGGATGGAGTAGACAGATATGACACACATGCTCTGCTGCCTTTCATTTCTACCAGAATGTGCCTCCAGACTTGTCTGTGTGTGGCTTCGTCATGGCCCAGTGTCTCTCTGTCCGAGCCCTGCAGGAGATGCTGGTCCACAGTGAGCGCCTGGCTGCAGAGGTGAGACTCTTCTCTTCCCGTCTCTTCTTTTCTCGTCTCCCAGTGCGTCTCAACACTCCTAAGACAGATATTACTTGCCATTTGTCAATGTTATTCATACTATAATTTATGTTGTGAATTGGATTTAATTATCATAAGTAATTAATTGGAATTCCAAGATGCCACAGATGCTTTCAAAACAACACCGCCACAACAAGTCGCTAGGTTCAACGGACCTCATTTCAGCCTTCAGTAAAATAAATGTTACTGTACTAAACTACTATTCTGTGAACTGATTTGATTTTCAAATCATCTGGAGCAACAAGATAAACACAATTTTATTGCACAAGAGACCAACAAAGCCATTGTAAAGCTGGAACAGCTGGTGTTGACCAGATAAATATAATACGAGTAGAAGGACATTTCCATTCAAATCGACCAAGCTGGATGGTCAGAGCAGCGGCCATGTTTATGTGTACTGTTGCCATTGTGACCGTTGCAGCAGGCTAACTTCCGTGTAACTTCTGTTTAATTATTATTTGCCATTTTTAGATTTATATATTTTTTTCATTTAGTCTTTGTTTCTATTTCTTTCTTTTTCAGTTTATTCACTTTTCTCACCACTGCTATTGTGTTTACTCATACTCTTGAGTTGAATAATGTTCATGTGAGTCACAGGTGGAAGCTGGAGGAAGCCATCGCACCCTTCTATATGGCCAGGCTGTGTTGTTCCTACACTCGTACAGTGGCATGGTGAGTCATCTTGATATGATACAGATATAAAGCACAAAGGGGGAGTCTTTATTTGCCGACAGTTCTTTTAACTTTTTCAAAACATTTGTTCAGATGTTCACTGTCACATATCTATTGTTTATTTCACTCCCAGTATCTCAGCTGCTTGTCCTCGTCTCACGCTTCAACAGACAAGCTGGCTTTTGATGTCGGTTTGCAAGAGGATAAAGCAGGTATTTGGTGTGCGGCCTTTTTAATGAAATCCACATTCTAATAGTTTTTATTCTTTATTCTAGATACTTGATTTTGTTTTACCGCACTATATATCATGTGGAACAAACTTTCCTTGGTGTGTACTCTGTGTGTGTGGCTCAGGTGAGGCTTGTTGGTGGACTGTCCACCCGGCATCCAGGCAGAGGTCAGAAGGTGAGAAAGTGCGTGTTGGAGATGACCTCATCCTGGTCAATATTTCCTCCGAGAGATATCTGGTGAGTCACCAAAGAAGTAACGTCTTTCACGGCTAGACGATCTACAGATCTGATGTGCGACTAAAACCATGACACAATCGGAACCCTGAGTTTTGTGAAGCCGTTGCATTCTTAGTCGTTGGCAATCTGTCTGCCTCTGATGAAATGAGCATAATTGTTCATGATAACAGCTATTACAGGAGAACAATCAGAAGTTGTATTCATTCTTGATGAGCCTGTATTTGTTTCTTCCCAGCACCTCTCCTTTGGCACCGCATTGGACAACAAAAGCTTGAGTGAAAGCCTGATTGTTAATGCAGCCTTCCAGCAGACTCTCTGGAGTGTTGCTCCCATTTGCTCTGGGAGTGGAGTTGCTCAAGGCAAGTTTCTTTCCTCTTTAAGCATATTGGAAAAAAACAACTTCATTTATGAAGGATATAATCCGAGT